ACATACGTACATACACACATGCGTACATCTCTACATACGTACATACGAACATACGCACATACGAACATACGCATATACGTACATACATACATGCATACAAAACCCAGTTTGTGCTATATTTGCAGCTCTCTTTGTCTTTGTGTTGAAACTTACACCACTGTTTATGCCTATCTCGGAATTTATCGTCATGTGCACGTGTATATGTCCATTACCAGTGTTGCTGGCATCATTACTATAGTGTCCTTGATCGGTCTATCTATCTATAATTTTATCTATCGGTCTGTACATACATATATACGCTGTATACACATACAACTCTAGTCATATAGTCTCTCTCTCTCCCCCCTACGCGCCTTTGACACGACCAGCGCGCTCACTGACCTGAGGGAGAAACTGGAAGATACTAGCATCTTGACAGAAAGCCCTAAGCCCAGAAATTAACAAACCCTGAACCCTGATTCCAAGAATGAGGTAGCCTCAGAGCAAAGAATCCACGGCGCAGCTTTACACAGATCTGCATGCATCGGACTTTTGTGCTTGATATCCTTTGCTCTCACAGCACGAATCCTCCAGCCTAAAGCTTGGCTTTCGGCCGGCCAAGCTCCCAAAAGCTACCGAGACTAAGACCGAGGCTTCGCCCCGAGCAACGTCGAGGGCCCCCACGGACAGGTTTAGGGGCCCTTGTTTCTGGGTGTTAAGTGTTAGGGTGTCCATTTTCGAATTCTGAGGCACGAAATCCAGCCTTTACTTGCTTTGCGGCCTGTCGGATTTATGGAGATTTGGGGAGCCATGTTAGCAAGTCCTTACACCCCGCTATGTCATGACCCCTGCAACCCTTGACCCCAAAGCTCAAGCCCTCAAAGCCCTGAAACAGCAAGAATCCAACAAGGTACCCTTTAAAAGAGGCGGATATTTCGGATCTGGTCGTGGGTGAAAACATTCTGGCGTTGTAGAGCGCGGAGCATCCTAGCGCTTCCGGGCACCCGGGCTGCAGCACTCGAGGGGACGGCGCTTCGTCCTTCTCGAGGTTCGGAAAGAGGCTCCTGACACAAAGAGACACATTGGGAGTACTCAACAGGGAATACCGCAGCAACGATTTTAGAAATGAAAGTCAAGACAGAGGAAACGGAATCATTACTACTACCCATGCTTCTCATGGCCAACTAAGATGAGCGAGGTCGGCAGTCAGGAGAGCGAGCTCATTCTTCCGCCAGTGCATGTTGGGCTTGCGGTTCTTCACGGGGTTTCGGGGTTGCCAAGAAGTTGCTTACATGTGCATGC